AGTGTAGGAGGACTGGTTCAATAAATTATTTTTGAAAGATTCTAAATCCTACCATTTGTGTGATTGAGTTCAAAGAAGAAGATGGAGTAGATGTACTAATACTTATCTCATAATTGGTAAAACTATCCATATTAATAAGGTTTCTTATGATAACTAGTTGAAGATTTGCATCTCTCTTTGAAATGGGGTTGAGTTGTAGTTCAGAGGAGGTCTTGTGGGGGTTCTATAGAGGATGTCTTCTCTAGGGGTTTCACTGATAAGAGTTTAATAGTATTATTATTAGGTTTGAATATATATTAAATTTCTTTATCATAATAAATAACACTAAAATCAGACAACCAAGTTCTTCCCAATAGAATGTGAATGATATCCATGGGGAGAAAATCATACCAATTTTGACATAACTACAATATTTATGAGAACCTGGCATCTACTGTGAATGGAAGAGAGGTGTGGTTCATCCAACTAACATGAAAAGGCTCAAGATGAGGTTCAATTTTTAGGTTAGCTCTAGAAAGTGTGTGAGTTAAGATATCATTCATTGCACTTTCCCCATTTATGACTAACCTACACCTCTTTCCATCATACAAAACATACATTCTAAAGATATTTTTTCTCCATCAGTCTTATGTTTCATTTTTAGCCACCATAAGTCATCTCATCACATTAATTTTAGATTCATCAATGAATTCCAATTCCTCATTAGTAGTTGGATGTCATCATAAACTTCTTCTAAGTTATCATTTATGGGATCCTCAATTTCTTTTAAAAATAAAATTTGGACTTTGCATTGATTTTTCATGACCCTTTTTATGACATTTAAAATAGATTACTTCTCTAGTATTCTTAATACCACCTTCAAAAGGAGCTTTAGGCAAAAGGGTTGAGCCAATAACAGAAGAGGATCTAGTTGTAGTCTTATGAGATGAATTGAAAGATGGGTGATTCTTAGTTTTAGAGATGGGAGCATATTTTTTTTTTTTTGGTTCAACCAATAAGGCATAATGAAAATTTTCCTTTTAGGTTTGGGGTTCAAAAAATTCAACCTCATTTATAATATCAAATTGTAGTCTAACGACAAATTTATTAGTCAGTTGTCAATCACTGTCAGAACAATCGATTCTAGAAACTAGGTCTTCAAAGCGTTTAGGTATTCAATTATAGGGAGGCTACCTTCTCTTAAAGTTAGTGATTAACCATACAATTTCTTATCATGATACCAAGGACAATACTTTGTTCTTAAAACTTCCTTCATTTTTATCAAAGCAAGATTAGTTCTCCCTAGCATTTTTTTTTTTAAACCAAGTATTTAACCAATAAATTGTAATATGTCATACTAATTTCATTTCAGCAAAAGTAATATTTCGATAGTCATCAATTTTATACCAATCAAATAATTCAGACATTTGAACTAACTAGTCTACAAATTTATTTTGGTCTTGTGTGCCATCAATAAAGTTTTCAACATTCCTAAGCTGATTCTCTCCTCTTCCTCCATTTCTATAACTTGGCGGTCTCCTAAGTTTTTTCCTTAGAATATGGGTTTAAATCTTCTTTTTCAACTCCAATAGATACATATAGAGTAGGTACTATACATGGAATTGGGGTTATATTGTTTTGTAAATAATCCATGAGAGCTTACATTTGTTCTCTAATTTATTGCATTTGGTTATAAAACTAAAGATCTATTACAAGAGTCACTCATGAAGAAATATTTAAATAGAAATTTTAATATTTAAATTTTAAATGTAAAATCTAGAAGGTGTTAGCGCTATCCAATATGCTCAATCCATGTGTCACCACCTGCTACATTTATTGCATTTGTTCTTGTAATAGATTGCTTATTTATAGCTCCTATGTACAAATACAATATGATTCAATATACTTTTCATTTGCTTTTCTCTCTGTCTCTCACACGTTTCTCTTCTTTCTCGCTCTATCTTCTTTCTGTTCTTCTCAGAAGGATTGACTTTTTTATGGGAATATATATGGATAAGTCATTTAATAGATATAAGATGAATTAATAAATCTAGTTAGCTAGAAGAAAATAAGAACCAAATGCAAGAACTTAGAGAACCAAATGCAAGCTCTCATGACTTATTTACAAAACAATAGCCCTAAAGGTTTGACTTTTCTTCGAGAATATGCATGGATAAGCCCTTGATTGGGCTCTTACTCTAGCATCTTCTTGGACTCTTATAATTAGACACTTACTTTTATATGTTTGATCTAATTGTTATGCTACATCACAAAAGCTGTGTTTGGGACGAATGCTTTAGAGCTTTACAATGTAAAATGCAACCAAAAGTATGTTTGGGGCGCTAATTTAAAACAGAGGTTTATATTTTTTTTGCGTTCCTAGCTTGCTTTCCGTGACCTGTAAACATTGCAATATTAAATTTTTAATAAAAAATATTAATGCAATATTTGCATGATCAAAATCTTGAATTAGATAAACAACATTACTCAAACCTGTTTATAAAATAGGTTAACAAGCATAAATCCAAAACAAATAAACTAAACATAGTAGAATTGGTAGCACACATGTAATAGAAAAACAACAGAATATTATATATATTTATCATCACAAATAACAGATTACAGCAGCAATATATGTTCTGATATTAGTAGATGTTGAGATATAGAGCAAGCTGATGTAGGATAGAATTATATATATACATTTTTAACATATATATGAATACCTGTATTTAATTTTTAAAACATATTATTATAAATAAAAATTATAAGAGGTCAAGAAAAGTGAATTTTTTCTAATTTTTTCGCATTATTTTAAAGTATTATAGTAATTCCCAAAAAAAAAAGTATTATAGTACATTTATGAAAAAAAATTATTAAACCCTTTTTTAAAACCTATAAAACATTTTCAAAAATTGGATAAGGTTTTAAATTAAAATTGTTAATATTTTATCATATTCAGTTTTTTTAAAAAAATGATATATAAATAATTATTTTTCAACACAATATACATAAAGGTATCAAAGTAATTTGTTCTCATACAGCTATAACACAGTAGTTCGACAGTTATACTTCACAAACAAAATATAATAATTTATGTACAACAATGTCATAAAGCAACTTTCTGTACAACTTCACAATATGTTTTATCGACGACTGCAATCGTCCCAAACTAATCCTAAGTCTACGAGGGCTATACGGCCACAAGGTAATTGCCAACTAGTGTGGCTGTGGTATGGCCAATATAGGTTTGCTAATTCAATCATAAGGCTACAACATGCAATACAAGCTTAACATAACATTTTTTTTAGGTCAATAATATCTTAGCCATACAAAGCTCTATTCTTAAAGGCATTTAGCTAATCAATCTCATACTCTATAGCTATCATATTGATATCATACTCATCATTAAATTTGTGGAGACAATTAGCTCAGCTAGTGAAAATTTAGAAAGTTATTGTAAAGATATTGGGATTGAATCTACCAAGATAAAATTTGTTTATGCTTCATTCTCAACATTATGCAAAATCATTATATGAAATCTTTATTGCACTTGAAACCATTTTTCAAGATAAACTTATTTATGCAAAAAATACTAAAAACTAATTCCATGAATAAGTAATAAGAAATAGATCAAGTTATATTGACAACAAGATTTGTGTTGTCCCACAAAAAATAAAAATGGTTAATACAAAAGAGAGAAGAAAAGAACCAAATCTCAAAATGTCATATATGTACAAAACCATGGAGTACGAAATAAAAGCAATCTTTCCAAATGCAACTATACACAATCACACAACAAAGAGAAGCTCAATTTTTTGCTAGTCAAACACATAAAAAACACTTCCTACCATCTTGCAAAAATACATAAATCATAAAATTAACAATAAATAAAGAGAACTAAAAGAATATATTAGTACGAAGATTTCTAACCTGATAAACCTTAATGATAACTCACAAGCCTATGCAAGAGATCAAAGACTAGAAAGCCATGGAAGTCAGAGATGAACGTCACTAGCTTGCTCTTAAGACCATCTCCGACCATTCGGCAAACAACTGAATGGAGGCCCTCAAACGTAGCAATCGAACGTCATTTACTCCGCCATTTGATCGCAATTGAATAGTGCAACGCGTCGCACTATTCACTTGCGTCATTCTTTTCTCTGTATCGAACTTGCTAAGAATGGCGTGAAAGAAACGAGCGATGGTTTGGGGGCAAAATGGTGTTCCTTTTGAGATGAATCACGACACTTTTTGATTTTACTGCATTTTGCAGTGAAAAATGAGAGTTTCGGTTGGAGATGCCTTAACAAGCTGTGACAACAGGTAGCAGGAATCAAAATTCCATACAACATACCAACCGCACCACCACGAACCAAAATCAATGACGACCCAGCGCAATCTCATGCAATGCTATTTGGCTAATTAAGGGAACCTTATTAAAACCACACACATGCACAAGCAATAAATTAAAATTTTGTTTGGGACAGCTTTTGACCACTGTTTTTTTGTTGCTTTCAACAATTTTTTTAACTAGAAATTTCCTGTAGAAAACAGTAAGAAAGTTGTCCCAAATAAAGCCTAAGTTTTGTGGGATCCACCAAGTAATCCAAGGCAATTCATAACAACATGGTTAACAATAGTTAAAAAAGTTTTATATCCATAAAAAAATACTTCCATTATCAATATAAGGCTGAAACAGAACTACAGAAAGAATTAGGAATGTGCTGTAAGACCATGGAGCACACATATATGTCATGCATGAAATTTTTAAATGTCATACAATATTCATGCAAGGTTATATAATACAAACCACACTTAAAATGGCACCCATATAAAAAAAATAAAATGTGAGGACCTATGACTAACTAGACAGAAATTTAATGAATTGCACTAATGGATCATTAGTCTCCCATATTACTGACCATAATATCTAAAAAAAAAGTTATAAGTTTTTTCTTACGAACATAAAGTGAGTTCTCTAGCATTGCTACCCAAATAGCCAAAACAATTTAGCTCGTAAGTTATTTGTATGTCCAACACTTCCATATGATAGTAATTAGAAAGTATAAAAAAGGTAAGAACTGTCAATTTGGAACAAGCAGAACCCATAGCATGCAATAAGAAAATGCAATTCATGTCCTTATGACAGCTAAAACGACCTGCCTGTAAGATCAGATCGAACTGCAAACAACTTTTTTACACCATAAACCTCAAATATAGTGAGAAGTTTAGGAGCTAACCAAAACCTAATGCAGCAACATCACCAGTAGTCCCCACAGGAACATTTCCCATCCTTGAAATGATGAAAACGCTTGTTGTCACGAACAATAAGCTCCCTTCCAACAATCCTGGACATGATCTTAATTGCATTGTGGCAGTCACCACAAACCCTGAGATTCTTGATAATCCGTAGCGGCGTCCTCGCAGGTGTACTAATAAGCCCGTAAGCAATGGCCAATCGCTCGCTATGATAGAGGAGAGCTTGCTCCTTAGCTTCCTGATCAATATCATGCAACACATATCTGGTGTCTGGCACATAGCCCTGTTCCTTAACTGGCGGAGCCTTCGGTGGAGGGGGTGGTAGACGGTATTCCCCGAGCTTGTTCTTCCCATCAAGCATGTTGATACCAGCACGCCTCTTTGCCAGTGGTGTCGGTATCTTCTTGGGATTAAACTTCGATGGATCCATTGACAACAAGAGCTCTTCCATTTGGTCTTCCAGATCAATGTCTCCTTGAATCCGGGCTAAGTTCATCATGGTCTCCCAAAATACAGCGGGTGCTTCAAAAGGCAACTTCTCAATGAACTCCAATGCCTCATGGATTTGCCCTGATTTTCCCAGCACCTCAATCATCGCAACATAGTGCTCAATCCCAGGGCTAATATCATACTCTTTTGACATTGATTCAAAATGAATAAATCCTTCTTCAATAGCATCTGCACTAGCACATGCAGCCAAAACATAAAGGAAAGTCTGTGAATTAGGCTGCACTCCCACATCTCTCATCTTCTCAAAAAGATGTAAACCATCATCCCCTTCACCGTTAGATGCATAACCATTAATCATCAAATGCCAGGAGTCCATATTTCTATCAGGCATTCCATCAAACGTCCGACGTGCATCCTTCATGCTCCTGCACTTTGAATACATCTCAAGCAGCTTGTTGTTGATTTGTAGGTCAGCACGAAAGGGTGACCTTAAATAGAAGTCATGGATCTTTTTAAGTTCCTCCAAAAGCTTGGCATCGTTACAGGCAGCGATGAGCTCAAAGAAGGAAGGGGGATCAGCACGAACACCCTGGTTCATGAGCTCTACGGCCTCTTTAACCTTCCCCTGGCGAGAGAGTGCAATGAGATCCCCAGGGCCTGCTGTTGGAGGGCTAACACCAGGCGGCAGAGCAGCATTCACTGGAGAAGGATGGCCCGGTGGAGGCGGACGAGAGAAGGAAGGGGGTTGGTTCTGTGATTGGCTCCATTGGTTTGGTCCATCGTGGCTCATTAGGTTAGGGTTTGGATAGGAAGGCTGGTTTTTCTGCGGGCTCCATTGATTAGGATTACGGTTTGGGTTGTGGAAAATGCGTGGATCAGAGGAAGGAGGAGGCGATGGCGGCTGCTGCTGGTGATAGTTATTGGGTGTTGCAGATGTGCTGAGGGAATTGAATGAGGGGTTTCTCGAAGCGAAAGCACTGATTTTTACAAGGCTTGTACGAGGTTTAAAGAGAAAAAGCGCAGAGGAGAAGCGTACCTTGCAGAAGGCGGCAGCTACCATGGAAGAAGAGGATCGCTGTATTACCGAGAAGGAAGTCATTTTCGCCGGCCAGTTGAAGAAAGCCGGCGGAAGATAAGCGCTTAATGGGCAAGCCTTTATGGCTGGTGGGAGTTGGAGTTGTCGTTGGTTTATCGCTGGTGGGCTGGATAGATCTGTTTTAGGGCGCCTAAATTGCACATCTCAGCCGCCCATCTTTTGCATGAGTGATTCTATGTGTCATAACTTGGTCAAATTTATTCATGAGCTAAAGGGCTAAAGATAATCAGCAATGTCCCCATGGCTTGCCTTTTGGTAGCATGGGAGGAGAACACCAAGAGGAGTGAGAAGCTTGCAAAGGCAATTGCAAAGTGTGGAATTAATTTTCAAAAGATATGATATCTATACTTCGGACTTGGTAATATTCCTTTAATAATATTTTATTTTTCATAGGTAATTCGTGTGGTAGATTACATATTTGATGAAATTTTATTAACTAGTGTAAGAATGTCAATTAGTTGCCACTAAATAACTAAATCCTATAAATGAACTCAAAGCACAATAAATAAGTAATCTGCAGTCAATCCATAATAGTAACAGTCAATATGATTTTAAATATATATAAAAATAGTAAATCACATATGATAGTAATAAAATATATAAATGTATTGAATAGAAATTCTTTAAACCTATAAAAGAGTACATATGTCGAATTGATAAAGCAGTTATCATAACAGTGCTATCGAATCCATAAGAAAGTCATATAAATCTATAAAATGGAAGCATCTATAAAGACAGTCGAAATCATGTGTGTGTAGTAAAATAGTATAAGAGTATATATATAATATTTAGTTATTTTATATCGGTATCAATCAGTATCTTATATCACATGCTTAGATTTATGAGTCATGTATAAATTAGTATCTTATATCACGTACTCAGTAATAGAAATCACATGTAAATTAATAAATCAGTAAGCAGTGAATCAGCAGTTGTATCAATATCATTAATAATAATATCAATATCCATAAAACATGTTATAATAATAAAAAAAAATAGAATAGAAAATCCGATGGTAATATTTGTAAAAAATACATTAATAATAATGATAACTAATAGAATAGTAAAATAAAATGAACAGTAGATCAGTACAGTAACATTCAATCTAGTAATCACATAAATAAGTAAGGAGTTCTAACTTGCATGGTATTTTTTAGTAGTCAATAATCAACAATCAGTAACCATTGGCTAAGTAAATAGATTTGTCACTCATTCGCGGGCAAAATAATAACTCCTTATAACCTCAATCAGTGAATTAATAGAGGATATCACCAAACTATAGTATTTAAAAGAAAGCCTGTTAGTTCATCAACTTGTACATGTTAGTCAATCTCTAACAAGTATTAGTAAAATCAATCTTTAATTATTCTCACACATATTATTATTACAGTATTATAATAGTAATAGCAACCAGCTATTACCCAATCAAATGCTCATATTCAGTCACAATGTTTGTATTACAAGTATTCTTATATTAAAAGACAAAAAGTTCTATTTGATATAAATTGTATAAAATATAATAACATTCATTTTACGTAGTAAAATTATGAAATCAACTATTCAAAATATCTAGAATAATCAATACTATAACATATAAAAAGTTATGCAGTAGAAGTTTATTAAGTTTTGAGAAAATGTACACAAAAATAGTTAAAAGGAAATTAAATGATCAAAATCAAAATCTTTGAAAACAAAAAATAATAAAAGTCACTTATCATAATCTGAACAAATTTTATAGAAGAGGTGAAATAGATTGGTGACTAATATGTGAACTTTCTCTTTCCTATCTCCTCTTTCCCTCCCCTTCTCTTCGTTCTTCCATGGCAAGCCACAACACTAGTGGAATGAGGGAGGTGAGTGGAGAAAAAATATATAGAAAACAAATTTTACTGTGTAGTGCCACTGCACAATGACCAAGGGCCGCAGTGGTGTGTTAAGTGTAAATTATGTATTATTTATTATAGTAAAATTTAATTAAAATGTGTTATTTTTGTTATGTTTATACATAAAATATTCAGGAGAAGGCAAACATTTGTAAGTATCGAACGAGCGTCGTAGCACCCAAAAATTCTGCATTGAAGCCTTGCCATCTATAATGCCCCAGTGCCTAATTCAAACATTATATTATCGACCACTATATGGTTTAAGAAAAAGTAGTGCCACAATAGAGCCAATGTCAGCACCATTATGCTAGAAATTAGTGTAATACTTTTATTTGTTCTAGTTCAACGCTGTTATGATGAGCTATGGTGCTAACCTTGAAATGTTGGCATACATAGACATAGGATGTTAAACCTTCTAGATTCTATGGAGACATTATAATTGTATGAAGGCCCTAAACCTCCCTTTTCACCCCTACAAGCTCAATAATGATCTAGGGATGCATATACTATGATCCATATCTAAAATTAAGAGTTTCATTAAGAAAATCATATTATTTTGCATTCATTAGCAAAAATACTTTAATTTATTAGTATTTATTTTCTTACAAGCCTTTGTTAAGTGGCAAAAACTTTTTTTTAAAAAAAAAAAACTATTTTACATTCAGTAGGATAAATTATGCATTCATTGTCACGGAAGTAACATGTATATTATAATTTTAAATTATATTATTAAACTGGTTGCATATTTAGACCTACTTGTATCTAGTATCTTTATTGTTGTTATTTTTGTTAAAATTTTGAAAAAATACAAAGTGGTTTTTATGTCTTGTTTATTTTTTATTCTTTATTTCTTTTTTTTGTAGCATTATTATTGTATGCCTAGTATATCTAGTAAGGTGCCATTGTTGTTTAATTTTGCGATAGAAAGAATCCTCACAAAAGTTTTAAAAATAAAAAGATTTTAGAGATATTTGAGCTGTTACAAGATCAGGACCATCCTAGACCTCTACAGGAAAAACGCCAAAAACCGGCGATTTTTGACGGCGGTTACTATGGCTAAACCCGCAATTTTCCTGTTTACAGGCGGCTTGGCGGTGGCATTCCAGCCACTGGTACAAATGGAGTAGGAAACTATTACCGGCGGTTTTCCGGCTGCTTGTACCGCCGGTGACAACCGGATTTTAAACCGGCGGTTTTCCGGCCGTTACACCGCCGGTTAGTTGACCGACGGCTAACCGGCGGTCATATTACCGACGATCGTCCGGCGGTTGAAGCGAGCGTCGTGTGCTCGCTAAACCGCCGGCAAGCGCCGGTAGACTGCCGGTTAAATTACCGGCGGTTGTAGCCGTTGGTATTACCGACGGTGTACACCGCCGGACGTCCACGGTAACACCACCGGCGTATTGGACGTCCACGGTAACACCGCCGTCCATAAACCGCCGGTTAGAACCGCCGGTAATAGGCATTTTTCCTGTAGTGACCTCTTAGAGAGTATGTTAACCCTGTAGTAGAAGAATCCACCAGAGTATTAATAGATATACTATTCATGCTAATAAATTTGAACTGAAATTGGTCATAATTTAGATGGTTTAAAACGGCCAGTTTGGGGAAAATTCTATTGAGAATCCCAACCAACACTTAGCTAGCTTCGTAGAAATCTGCATTTTTTTTATTTTTTATTTTTTTAGCTTCTTAGAAATCTGCATAATATTCAAGTATAATAGTGTTATTAGGCTTCATTTATTTCTATTTTTTTCTAAGGGACAAAACTAAGATATGGTTGAATTCTTTCCCCAAAGGCTTTATAACCACTTAAAATGAGTTGGCACACAAATTCTTAGTTAAGTATTTCCCACATTCAAAAATTATCTTGCTTAGGAGCGATGTTACATCTTTTGCCTAGTTTGAAGGAGAGTCAATTTATGAAAGTTGAGAGACATTTAGGAAAAAGCTTAAGAAATTCCCTCACCATACTTTACCCAATTTTTTAGTTATTCAAACTTTTATAATGAATTGGTAGGATCCCTTAGGTCAATTATAAATATTGCAACTAGAGGATCTTTGATGTCTAAGCCATTTGAGGATTCTTATGAATTAATTATGAATGGCTATAAATAATTTTCGATTATCTTTTAATACGGTGAATCCTAAGAGAGTAGTTTGCATATATGAATCATATGCATTATTTATTTTGACTACTCAGGTAGCTATAATTTTTAAAAGTTAGACATTATTAGAGTTAGTTCACGATTATAAACATCTATGTAATTGGAAGAGCATGATTTAAATTCTTTGATTATAGTAATGCACTAGAGATTGAGAATGTGAATTTGATTGAAAGATAAAATAATTTCTATTATAAAACATATAATCCAGGTTGGAGGAATCACCCTAGTTTTAGTTGGTCAAATAATAATATTAGTGGTAATAATCAGTGAAATGTAAGTTAATTTAATTAAGGAGAAAATTAGAATAATTCTTAGTAACCTGCAATAAATCCTAGCCTTCATATGCCTTAGGTTTTAACCAAAAAAATTTGTTTAGTGAGAGAAAATCACCTTTGGAAGAGGTTGTGATTTAGTTAAGAACCCAATTGCAAAGTTAGATTACTTTAATTAAGAGCTTAGAAAATCAGTTATGATATCTTGTAATCTCTTTTAGTAGTAAACACAATGGATCATTGCCAAGTAATAATAAAATTAATCCAAAGGAAAAAAGAAAAAGAGTATAGTGGAGACCACTTGAGAAGTGGTGGTGATTCATTACAACCAAAGTAACAAATCAAGATAAGTATGGCTGAAGATAATAAATTTAGCATTTTTGGGAGGCAACCCAATTCTATTTTTATGTTTATATGTTTTGTTTTGTAATTTGTATTATGTGTGTGTGATTTTATTGATTGTAAAAAATATATTAATTTTAATTTTGACAAGTTATGAAAGTTTCTTGAGAAAAGCTTGATGTGCTAAAAATTGAACTAGTGTTGTAACGTTAACTTTTTAAACGTTGCAGCATTTGTCAGTTAAGAACCATAGCATTTAAAATAAAATTACAACGGTGAAGTCTCGAGAAACTTTTTTATGTTGTACCGTTGCAGTGCTTAATAGTAAACACCATAACTCTAATATGAAATACAGAGCACCTCAGTGCTATACTACCAAGCACTTGAATGTTTGATCAATTTTCTATAGTACTAATGGCAATGCAGTCAACATTTCATACTTTAATAACTTTTTATTATCAAACTTTATTAAGCACCACTGTGATT